ATCGAACTCTTCAACGCTCTTGTTTCGATATCTCCTTCCATGCCGCCGCTCCCTTCGCTTTCAAGACCGAACATCGCCGATACGTTTGCTTTTGCGCATTTACATCCTGAGACGGCGAAATTGACGGATCTCGCCAACCGGGTTACACACATCATTCTCCTCCATTGGCGCATATGGGGGCCTATCGCATACGTCCAGGAGGATGGGTCGCAGCGCTCGACGTCTACTGATGGGAGTGCGATATCAACACAGGTATCGCAAGCATCATCGCGACAGGTGGCTTCGAATGCGGAGAAAGACGCTTCTGTCCCAACTAGTATGCGGACGGGTGAGAAGCTGGATGCGGGGCAGGATGCGCATGTGCAACATCAGTCGCTTCCGCAATAACGCCCGCACACCCCCATCAGCATCCACCACCCCCCTTCCTTTTTCTCCTTCCCATTTTCCATATTCCAAGGCGTTCAAAAGGCTTCATCTGGACGACGACAAACTACCTGGCGCAATGACGGTCCCTTATTCTTTCTGCTTGTTTCCCACGATACCACTTTTCATGCTCACGGCGCTGCGGCAACACTATACGTTGTAATAGATTGTATTTCGACAAGATCTGTTTGGGCTTTGATCATACTTGGCAATGGGATATGTAGCATTAGCGGAGTATGATTGAAGAGAATGAAGAATGTTACAATTTGTTATGTCAAACGTTGCGTCCATCTTACTGTCTGTTGTTGTGACTTATTCGTGTTCATCATTCATTCGTATGTGAGTAACTTGTTGCTGGTTACGCCTGTATCTTGATTCTCTGCAACGGGGATTGGGTATGTAAGAGGCTTTTTGCTGGATTCTTCTTGTTGTGGTGGGGTGTAGGTTGCATGCTTCCTCTTTTTCCAGCGCTGGGTTAGCAGCGTGCGATTACAGAGAGTTTGTTTGAACGAGATCTTTTTCGTTGTAATGCGCGCTGAACTCCACCTCCGACAGCGCAGTGGAGACGTTTCCTACATGCGCTTCTTCTTTGTGTTGCTCCTTGCTTATGTTGGTTCTTGTTTATGTTGCTGCTTGCTTACGTTGCTTCTTGTGTACAGCTAGATAGATCGGAACTTCGTGGTTGATCTCTCATGTAAGCTTAATACTGTGAACTTCACTTCCGTGTTGCCTATTGCCTCTAAGATGGAGGGTGGATGACCATTTGCTACATTGAAAACATCTTTCAGCGCTTACAAGTGCGACATGTGATGATGGAGATGAGTTCATATATGACACAGCAGGCTCAATTAGAGTCTATATATTTTATATTACGCTTTCGGTGGACACTAGTAGAGGGAGTTACAAGATTTCGGCTGCTTTTTTATACCCATTTCTTCTTCTCAGATCTGTAGTTTTCTTAATACATAAGGCTATCTGGAACTACTTTGAGGAAGCTACAATGGCATGAAGTCATCGTCGCAGTAGTGATATTCAGGGGCGTCAGATCGCCACGACTCCTTGAAGGTGCAATTTTTGCAAGCATCCTGAATCTCCTGCTGGACGTTTCTGTGGCCTTTCTTGTATGAATCCGGTGTGTAACTACCTGTTCCACATTTATGTCTGAGCAACACTTTGCGGAACCATGCCAGATGTTCATGGACTTTGTCCGTACCAGGCATTGTCAAGGTAGGCTTGATCGCAGCGTACAGATCCCATTGAGGATCTGACACAATCCAGAGTAGGATATCCTTGTCGGCATTTCGTGATCCCGGATAGAAGGTTTTTTCTCTCTCTTGCACTTCTTTATAAAAGGGAGTTCCGACAGCTTCCGCTCGTTGTCTGCTGTCCCAAAAAACAATTACCATCTGCACAAGATACCGGATTACCCATGTAGCGTCGACCTCTTCAGATGCCGAATTCGTGATGTAGGCGCATATTCCAGTGGACTTCGCTGCTGCGTTTATGAAAACACAGTCTTGGGTAGGGTCTGAGACACAATAGGGCTTCACCGAAAGCGAATGATAGGCCTTTGTGTATCGGTAACAGGGTGCGTAAGCTTTGTGAAGCACCGCTCGTGGATTTTCACAAGTGCGCTTGATGAAAGTATCCAGACGTCTTGCCCATGGCGTGACTTCGCTGTCGCTGTGGAAGCTGAGGGCGACGCGACCATCCAGTTTCTCTTGTTCAGATGCGGTGACACATAGCACGTTAGTCTGGTCGCTGGCGTAACGTCGGAAGTAGCTCTCGGGGCTTGAAGCCCAGGCTTCACGTAGCTTGGACTCGAGCTCGTAGTCAGTTACAGCTACCTCGTTCTTCTCTAATATCTTCATGAAATCCCACACGTACTCGGTGGCTGACTCAGCGAGCGCAATATACGTCAATTCTCGTATAGGTGCACCGTCACTGTCCTTGTGGTATCGCACATAAAGCGAAACCAAGATCTTCTGCTGCGGAAGATCTTCGACATCCTTAGTTTCTTGGAGCCCCGTCCATGCCTGTTCGATGCTTTTGATTTCCTGGGCGCTTGATAAGATGAACCAACAGCGGTTCGCATGAACCGTTCTCAATCTATCCCAGCCCGCGTTCCTGAAGTTTTTCTTAGCATCACCGTCGGTTCCGGTGATGTAGAGTCCGCGTACTCGTGACTCGTACTTGGCACTTTCCCAGACCCTGATATCGACATGATTTCCAGTGCTCGTGAAGAGGGGTTCGGAAGAAGGCACAATAGTGGAGTTTATCGCATCGAAGGCTGGTTTCGCAAGCACCTCAGCCGTTTCAACTCTGCTGATAGCAGCCAAAGGTCCATCGCCAATCCGAGAGTTTGCATAACCAGTCCTTGAGAGGATATCGGGGTCTGCGGTGACTGTGTAGGATGACTGCTGACCTTTGTCTACTACAGACTTCAGTTGTCTAATGATATTGGGCCGGTAGATGTCACGCGCCCAATCAACGATGTAGTCCATGATGAGAACCAGTTGGAGTGCTGCATCGTGGCGGGTTATACTCCCCTCCCATAAGAGGATGACTTTCTGCCGAGATATTAGTAAACCCATTGGAAAAGCCATGTATCAACTTACGTAAGAAGGCAGACTGTCTGGACTAGACTTTGTGACGTAACATCCGTATACCTTCCATTCTTCTCCCCTGTACGCAAGAAACCAAGATAGCGGGCCTCCAGGTACCTTCATCTTGTTGTCCGGGTCATCTTGGAGTTGCAGCTGTAGGTACAGATGGTTTCGTATCGGTATTGCTGTTTGCGTCTCGATGTCTTTCCAATTGCCATCGCCTTTGTGGCTCTTGGCTTCCATCGCTAGGAAAGGGTATATGCAGGGTTGGTCACCACCGTCTGGATTGCAGCTCATAGTCAGTCTCTTAGACAGATATTTGAGTGCAGTGTTCTCTCCCAAGTGGGAAATGTGTAGTTGCTGCAAACTCTCCGCCATGGCTTCGGTAGTCCTTAGTCCGTAGACTCGATCAGGCTGCTTCTTAATTCGATGACGATTCTCCGGGTCGTTCTGGATGAGGCTTCGCTCGCCAATACGATACGTGAAGATATCGGTCAGTCCTGTACTCAAACTAATCACATGATCAGCTGTGATTCGCTTGCTTGGTGAATCTATCGACTCACATGCTATGCTGTTTTGCCAATGGCTCACACGAGCATCCTGAACGACGTTTCTGACGCTCTACGAGCGACATCGTTCGACTGTTACTGTGTTTCGGATCCACCTGGATGCAAGATTCCCACAGACGTCTCCGACATCCTTGGCTACTTTCGGTCAGCGTGCGAGACATGAAGTAGATCAAATGTATCATACCATCCAACTTCGATCTTAAACCGTTTAAAGACGTAGGGCTCAAGTTCCATTCTCCAGCTATCCTCGTTCTGGTGATCATCCCTCGATCGAACAGCCCAGTAGATCATCTGCTTAGCCCGCCTCTTGTTCTCGAGCTCCCATGGCTTGTCGATGGTGTCAGGTCGAGGTTGTATCGCATACGACTCGTAGCTCATCTTGCCCAGTTGCTGAATATGCTTGAACTTTATCTGATGTTCTTCAGGGATATCTCCTGGGTGCGGTGGGTAGAATTCCGGATAGAACTTGATGCGGAACTCTTTGGCTTTTGCCTCGTCTTCAGCAGCTTTCTGGCAAGCTGTTCGGTTGTCGCAAACAGCATCCGCTGTTTGTTTGTCGGAAACAGCATCCGCTGTCTTCTTCCCTTTCTGTTTCTTTGGCGCCGGATCCGCATGTGTAGCTGAAGCTCCACCTCGTTTTCTCTTATTTCCAGTACTAGCAACAGTCTTCGAGGCTTGCGCATTGCCCCTGGTTCTCAGCGTCGGAGCCATGAGTGCTGATACGGGAAAGGCAATGAGATCTGGTGTAGTCGGTCTGAGTCTTGTAGGTATGCTATGGCAACTTTGCTCTTCGACAACGAATTGCGACAGAATGTGGTGCGGCTGGCGCTGGGAAGTTACGACCAGATCAGCCGGCCGGGGTTTGTATAGGTGCCTTGATTCTTGGGGCCAAAAGGCCCAGTAGCAATCCTTCGCGCAGGCAGCATGTTTCGATGCAAGAGCTTGAAACCGCCTACTAACTACATTCCGCCCCATCTTCTTACCCGAATCTCGCTTCCCCCACACTAGCGCGGATGCGACGTATGTTGGTGGCCTGAGCGTGCATCAGGGGGATTCGCGCATCGACGTTCTGATCCATGGATCACTTTCTACACTTCTCACGTTGCGCGTCCGCTCTAATTTGCGACTACTACGCATTCATTGTTGGTGTTGTTTCCCCACGCGCTCCGTTTTGCTGCGGGTCCCCTGTCACCGCCCCCGAGCTCGTGCGTCATAGATATGACATCCCTATCCCGCCTATACTACGATGCGACACAACTTGAGGCCATTGTTACTTGGTGTATGCGCGAACAATGTAACCATCGTCACCATGTACCTGCTAGGCGGCACCTTGACAGGTGTAAGGGTCCGCTTATCTCTTGCTCCATAATCTGATGCTTTCCAGGGCATGTCATTCCTTCCATCATCCAAGCCACTGGTCGAGCAGGCGGTCGATGGAAAATTCCATGGGGAAGTATCCGATAGCATCGGTGGGTAGGAAGTCGATCCAGTCACTCAAGGGGCCACGAGGATCGATCATGCTCACGGCTTTGACGAATTCCCAAGAATCTGGATACCAGCCTGCTGCTTCCCAGTCGATGATGGAAGACACTCGAATGTTCGTGTGTTCAATTTGAACCACCTCACCCTGCACTGGAATAGCTTGGCTATGCTCCAGAGTCACCATGATATTTCGGGGGTGCAAGTCACCATGAGTCATTACAATGCGATGATCGTCTTTCATAGAGCTCCGAAGCAATTTAACCCATGGCGTTACTGTTTTCTTGGGGTGCTGGAGAAGGAAGTCGTTGAATTCCGCTTCGGTGCGTAGAGGTGCTGAGCTTATGCGTTGAGTTCTCCTTAGATCTTTGCATAATCCGGACGTAAAACTCCCTAGTTGTACACCGGATCTAGAGTCCTCGGCAGTAGGACTGCGAAGGAGCCGGAACAAAGAACTCAGCTGCTCCTGTAAAGATTTCTTCTGCGTAGCGGAGAGATCTGACCAGACGCTTTCAAGTGTAGTGCCTGTTGCTCGGGACATGAACAGATAAGTCCTTTGGTCACTACGTAAAACGCCTAGGCATTGGGGAATCGGGAGCTCCGGCACATGTGTGGCAAGGTATTGTATATTATCAACGTGATCAGGATCAAGAGACTGGGCGACTTTGACTACATGGCTCGGCCCGATCTCGATGACGAAGGTGTCGTGGAGCTGAAAGAGGATCTCTCCGCCGCGCGTTAACTGATTGAATGCTGCTGCCATTTCTTTGGGTATATGGCTGAGCACTTCGTCGCACTCTGATGTTGCATGTACCAGATTCAGCACCGATTGGTCCAAAGAGTGAGTGACTTTGACGGAGCCATCCACTGGCAGGTCCAGTAGCCCAGTCGCAACGGAAGACTGGTGATCTTCGTTGTGCGTCTCATCCACTGGGGATGAGTTAAACGCTACGGTGAGCTCATCGACTAGACGCGGATACGCTGTTGCCTCTCGCTTCAAGACTTGAGAAATATCTGCAGCAGAGTCGCGGCTCACCATTGAAATCAATTGGCTAAGCGTGGCTTCATTGGCTAGACTGCGCGCCTCTCGAACAGCGACATGGGTGGCGGTAAGCTTTGATTCCTCTGGGTCTGCTGCATGTGACATGTTGAGCGTCCCGAAGTCGCAGATAGTGAGTTTGGACTTTTTCTTGTGGAGGTGGCAGCCGGGCGTGTTACGAGGTCCACGGGTAAGCTGAGGGGCGCCAAGCTACTAGTGTTTCCCCCCACTAGCGCGGATGCGACGGAGCCTTGGAATTTGCGGCCTCAGCGTGTGTCAGGGGAATTTCGCGCATCGACGTATTGAACCATTGATCACCTTACTTCCAACACTTCTCATGTTGCGTGTCCACCGTATGCATCATATGCGACTGTTACCCATACTTTGTTAGTGTTCTTTCCTCAGAGACTCTCCGTTTTGCTGCGGGTCGGCTGCCAGGGGTCACCGCCTCCCGAGGTCATGCGTCATGCGTCATGAATATGACATCCTTCACCCCGCGTCTCGATACTGAACGACAGGCAATGCCTTTACAGAAGCATCGCACGTTATATGCACCACAGCTCGGAATCTTTCCTGCATGATCCTCACATTCTCACGACAAACACCAAAAGCGATACAACTTTGGGCCATCGCTACCTAGGTTCCTGGTCTACGTCAGATCAATGTAGCCATCGCCACCTGGTGCCTGCTGAGCGGGAGCTTATAGCAACCTACGCAGGAGTAGCGGCCTTCTTATTACACTGACACACGGCATAGGTCGAAGAGAAGTCAAGTACCGACACCATTGCGACTGGACCTTAATAGTCTTGATCCGAGCCCAGAATGCAGCGCCAGAGCCTGTTCATACGTTCCTAAGCGGGTAGCTGATCATGTCAAGATGGCTCATTTCAAGCCATGTAGTAGTCGCGACGTGTTCTGGGTAGAGGCGCAAAGTCTAGAGCAAGTGTTTCAAAGGTACCGGAGAACTTGGCCAATCACGAGTCCATGTCGATATGAGGTACGACATCGCGGAATCTGGGGTAATTACCAGGTGTGTATGGGTAAAGGGCGATTACGAACGAAATCACGAGCCCAATATCCCGGTCGTTGGTTACTACAAGACCATAATGTGCTCATCGCTTCCCGTTTTGAGGAGTTCTTAGGTCTATCGACAGCAGCCCGTCCCGTTAAGTAGAGATGCGACTCTCCAGTATCGCAATACCAGGCTTCTTTACCACCGCTGTCCATGCCCACGGCCGAATCACCCAAATCACGACGTTCAGCGGAGAAACCTACGCTGGCTGGGATCCCGCTTCCTCGGACAATCTTATACCTCCGCGTCCACTTGCGGCATGGTCCGCGTCAAATCTCGGGAACATATATGTCCCACCCTCGCAGTTCAACACGTCCGATATCGCCTGTCACTACAACGCCATATCAGGCGCTCTTCACATCAATACCACCGCCGGTGACGAGTTAAAGCTACAATGGAACGAGTGGCCAGTATCGCACGTCGGTCCAGTTATGACGTATCTGGCGGACTGCGAGGGTAGCTGCACAGATAGGAAAGGTAGTGATCTGGCATGGGTTAAGATCGATGAGCTAGGATGGCTGAACAGTACAGGCTGGGACACATTGGATCTCGGTGGCACGTGGGCAGCGGATGTGCTCATTGCGAATGAGTATTCTTGGATGGTCGAGATACCGGAAAGACTCGCGGAAGGATACTACGTATTGCGACATGAGATCATCGCGTTGCATGTTGCGGAGAACCTAGATGGCGCTCAGGCATATCCACAGTGTGTGAACTTGCGCGTTGCACGGAAGTCAAGTGAAGAAGGGAAGAAGCTAGTTGGTGGTGTTCTTGGCAAAGACTTATACGGCATGAAAGATGAGGGTATACTAGTGGACGTGCATCGGGAGCTTGCTGGGTACAAGATCCCGGGGCCGCAGCTTTGGGAAGATGCAACTCGTATACGCCAGCCTAATCAATGATGCTGCATTCATTTCATGCTGGGAGCGAGTCGACTTCCAGCTTACTCGAAATATTCGACTCACCCAAAGGATCATATGATGAGTTCTCGAGGTATCTTACCAGCAATTTCACCACCTTGGCGCCTGACCTATCATACCCGAGACTTCATGAATTGTAGAAGGCCTTCTGTCTTCCACGCTGCCTCTAGGCGGTCAAGATTCTTACTACCAATCGCAAGTGCATCAAATAGTAAGTCTATAAGTTGCGTCAATCACGAAAACGTTGGAGGCGCCTTTGATCTCATCTCATCTTGTAGCAAGCCGAAAAGCGTTCCGGGCGAGTCGTGCTGTAGGTATCCTGCCATTACTACGGTGTCTCGGACAGTCGAAAATATCTTGGAACTACTACGAATGAGAGAAATGCCGAGTTTGAGTGAGTACTACAACTTAACAATCACTGTGCCGGGCGTTTACGAAAGGCTAGTCATCTCACCAGCCCGTCCGGGAAAAACATTGCGCAATGGAGGATGAGTTATTGCGCAATGCAGGATGAATTATTGCGCAATGGGCGACAATTGCCAGACCAACTCCACTTTCAGTGTCTCTTATCCAACGCGCCCAGGCCAACACACAGATATAAAATATCTCTCCGGATCCGACGCACATCACTTCTACCTCTACCTCGAACTCGACATCTCAGCCGCTGAACACGTTACAAACATGCTTCAGCTACTCGATCTACCGATAGAGATCGTCCAGCGCGTCTTCAACACACTAGCCAGAAAGCATGGTATACCAGCAGCGTGGTTGGCTCGAGGAACCTGCAGTAAGTACCCAACAATACAACAACCGTACACATGACATCCCAAGCTGACAGACTGCGACATTAGCCTCGTTCCGCGATTACATCACGTACGAAATTCTCGCCAATCCAGCCCTCAACGCCTACCTCAAGACGCCTGCCGGCCGCAAGATCCTCAAGGAGTCCCTCGCCGACTTCCTCTTCGTGCGAAGCAAGAAGCTCAACGGCTTCGCACGCAGCCATGTGACGGACTTCATCCGCGCTATTCTGCGAGCGATGACTCCATGGATCGCCAACGACACTGAAGAGGCTGCACTTAGGAGGGCACTGTGTGAACTGTTTGTTCGCAACCACAGCGACGCGTTCAGATGCGTTACCACTGACTTCAACAAATTGGGATACTACATGCCGAACACCATCCGGGTCACTGATACTGCCCTGATTGCTGCAGCCGCCGCAACCGGAAAGCTCGACGCGTTGAAGCACTTCGTCGGCGCTAACAAGTGTCTTCTGTGGACGCAGTCACTAGCTTTTGGTTACCCACTTGATGCTGCGGTGTATGCGGGCCAAGAAGTTGCCACCAAGGCACTGGTACAGCAAGCCATCACCAATCAGGACCGAGACGTCGCTAGATACCAATACAGCGAGCATGTATCCTTCCGCCAGGCCATCTGTACCACTATCGGACTGGAAGACGACTCTATGACCATGACCAAATACCTCCTGGCCAAGTACATCACCGCGTTCGGCTCAGCAACCGAAGCCTGCATGAAAGCCTGGCTGGACAAGGCTATCCAAACCAACAAAGAAGAATTACTCAAGCTACTTCTTGCTCTGCCTTCGCAAACCGGTCCATCAACCATTTACGCCGCTTTCGAAACTGCATGTCGTCTTTCGAAGCCAGATCTCCTGCATCTACTCTTCGGTCCTCAGATCGGTCAAACTACCCTAGCCATCAACCAGATTCAAGGCTCCACATACGCCCTCCTCACCGCCGTCAACTTATGCACAACACCAGCCGCTGGCATCTTCATCAAGTCGCTGCTGGAACTAGGCGCCGATCCCAACGGTCCCGCGTACCTAGCCGGTGTCGAGCGGCCTCTCCAAGCAGCGATGCGTTACGGTCGTAGCATCGCTTGTCTGGTCTTACTTGAAGCTGGTGCTAATCCGCATTTGGTCACACCTGGAAGTTTGGCGTGGGTTGAGAGTGTGAAGAAGAGGTACCGGGAGGATACGAGGGCGGGTAGGGTGTTCAGGGAAGCGCTTGAGGTTTGCGAGGTGCCTAAGGTAGCGAGGGACGAGGACTTTCTTGTTGAGGTGGATGAGGCGGGTGGGGACGTGGAGGTTGAGGGTGGTGAGGAGGTGGAGGTAGGGGATGCCTAGGAGGATATGTTATGTTGGGGATATGCCCTACTTTCGCTCTAAGAGTAGCATAGACTGCAGGGCCTCATGGAAGTCACTAGATAGCCTTTTGCTGTAGCAATGTAAGAGGTATGCAAACTTGTGCTCTTAGTAGAATGCGAGGAATCACCATCCTCAGTTGATCGCATTAAGACACGATAAGATGAAAGTGACTCATGACGAGAAGGGTGTGCGCCGTGGGCATACGGCGAGGGGAATGAAGAGAGGACGTGGAAGGAGAGTTTCGACATGGTGGGGCTTCCGCTGGAGTGACAAGGCCGATCATCGGCGTTTGTAGGCCGGTGTTCTGATGTTGTCTGCAGGGCGTAATTCTCAGGGGTCGGTTGTAGTTGAATCCGTCGCGCACGATCCCGGCTTCCCGTGTGGCACGAAGTTTGCTGCAACCTCATGAATGGAATGCCGCATTCGGAGCGGCATTGCCCGCTCGCCGCGCCGACACTCCTTCAGCTTTTCCTGCTCGATCCTTTCTTCAAAGACACCTGAGTAACTTCCAATCTTGCAGTGATGGATGATTACCTGTTGTAACCAACACGCACCCATGTTGCGGTGCGCGTCGCCACCGGTGCACGGCCGCTACCAAGATACCATCCAATGCGCACGCCGTCCCAGCCGTCCTTCAGTCACAAGCCTCCCAGAAGGATGGAGTCGCGTCGCCCCGTGATGATTTCTGGTCTCCTGTATGGTTGCATAATATAAACTTATGTCACTTGACATGGTTCCAATACGATCAGCATCCTCAGTCGACAACGACAGTCATTTCTACGTATACTCAGCTGTTCAAGTAGACTACCCAATACCAACATCCTAACCTCGTGGCTCATATTACCCCCAGATCCGAACCCAGTAAACGAGACCCGCGCACCAACAGGATGTACGCCCTGCAGACAGTCCTGGCTACGCCCTAACGAGGACTCAGGTCGTAGTTGCTTTGGATGGCCATACAGGCTATCGCTGGCTCCTGCTCGATTTCGCCACTCGCGATCTTGCGTTCCAACTCCGCCCTTTCCTCGCGGTGCTTTCTCATTTCCTCGTCGCGCTCGTTCTTGGTGCCAAAGGGTGGAATCAGTCCTGCAGGGGGATTCATCCACTGCCTACAACCGCAGCATCAAGTCAGTCGATGCTTTCGCTGCTCAATGAGCGTGCGATGAAAGGTACAACTTACTCTTGTGGAACTGTTCTGCCATCGACTCCGCGAAACCTATCCTCCTTCTCCTGGCTCCAAGGACCTCTGTCCAACCATGATTTGATCAACTCTGGTGACATAGGCTTTGCGTCGAAGATGTTAGTCTGAGTGACCTGATCGGGCGGCCCGGGTAGGTATTCGATGACTCTCATCACTCCGTCTCTGCAGATCATGTGGAAGTGATGGGCGTTTTCGCATTCTCGCATAGAGTCGACAAAGATCTCCAGCGGGTCTGTCTTGACTCTCGCTTCGGTAGAAGCGGCGGCCTGCTTCATGCTGCCTTCTTGTTGACTCGGATCTGCGGTTGAAGGTTCCTCGTCGTTGGCGTTGAATCCTTCCTGGCTCCGCGGCTTTGGCGAGGACGACGAAGACATCGTTGATTCGTGTACAGTGGGAAATAGGATTCAGGCAAGTAGCACTAGCTTCAGGTTTCATTAAACGCAACCTCGGGTAGAAGGTTAAATAGAGTGGTGGCAGCAGGCGACGTGGTGTGCGCGAGAAGAGGATGCAGTGCGCAAAGGTTGAGATGCGGGGCGTACTTATAGACGGCACACTTAGGTAGTGCTGACCAACAGCATTCTGCATGACGCAGCGTTGCAACTACCAGCCTCGCAGTCATGTGAGTATGCGCTAACATGTACATCGACAACTCGGAAGGGTTGGGAAGAGATTCAGCAGTGGCCTATAAAGCCTCTACTTCTCGCCGAAAACATGAACATCCTCCCAGCAACGCACACTTGAGTACACTACTCTACACATTGCCTCTTTTATGATACACCGAACTTGACATGAGGTTCTCGTTCTTCGTTTCCGCCAGTGCAGCTATTCTGCTAGCAGCAGCAGCGCCCACTGAAGATATGGTAGCTACACCTAAGGGCCACACCCAAACAAAACTTCACTGACATCAAGATACTAGTCGCTCGATGAAGCACTCAAGAACTTCGATTACGGCGAGATGATGGATCTTGGACGCGACGGAGTGCTTCGCAGCTTGAATGCAGCCCATGACACTGTGTTGGACTTTGTCCAGCTCAGTGGGCCTCAGATCACCGAGTTCTTCGCTAAAACAGGCTCGGATTCGTCCGTCATGTCTGGCGTGTACGTTTGCTCTAAACGACCCCTCTATCAGTAGATTTGGCGAATCAGACTAATCACTACTTCAGCGATGGGCGAACCGTAACGTCTGACGCTCAGCTATGGGCCGTCCCTGACGACATCGTCGCACGTGAGCCGACCGCCAGAACATCTGAGGCAAAGTTGCCAGGGGTACTGTCTGTGCACCAGAGGGCGGAGTGCGTAGCGGGAGCGCCATGTGATGAGACAGCTGATTGCTACGAGTATAATTGCGCCCGCTGTCTTCGTGGGCCGATGTGCATTGGGGGTCCATCAGGCTGCCTCAACCAGAGCGGCAAGTGCGCATGGAACAGATGAGAACTGCCTCTTCAACAGTTGACTCTGCTTTGGAAACTATGGCTCAGGCCTATCACGCTCGTTAGAATCCACTGACATGAAAGACTTTCCAGAGCATGCAGATTTCTTGTTTGCGCGATTTCCATGTGACTGCGTGACTGGTTTGACAAACATTGCACGACTCGACCGAATGAATACATTAGGCCACACTCCGATCCCAAGCTTCTACTACTTTTCATTGTACACAAGCGGCCTATATATCTGCCCTTTTCGCTTCTCTGCCTGGATCACAGACTTCTGCCCAACGATACTTGTCTATACCTAGGATCTTTAACATCTTCAATCTATCCTAACTACTTCTTGGAAACACACAATCAGCCATGTCGTCTACAGTACTGGTCAGCGACCTTCCCTCCAACTGCGAGTCATACTACGTCTTCACCGAGCTACGTTTACAGGACGATGAAATCGAAGAAGTGTATACACGAGCGGGAGGAGGCGAGTCCGCCTGGATAGTCTTCAAGGACCGCACGCTCGCCGCAACATTCGAGAAGAACCACAAAGGCTACCACTTTGGGGTAATTGGCAAAAAGATCACGACTTGCTTTTGGACCGAAGCCATTCCCGACCACGCCACCAATCGCTATTCCGACTTCGTCCGCGCCCGGGATCACCAAATACTCTCGAGTACCGTTGAGATTACCGGTCTTCCCGCAAAACACACTCTGAGTGACATGAACAAGTTGCTAGAGTCGGTGCGAGACCAGTACCTCGAGGCCACCAAGCAGAACCAACTTCTGGACCCGACCGACTACGGCTACTACGAGCCCATCAATATCCTTCAAGTCAAGACGCCCGACCCAGGAGTCGGCCTTATACAGCTTGCCGAGCCAAGGATGGCGATCAACCTAGTACAACAGTACGCGGGTACCTACTGGAAGAACGCAACGCTTAACGCTCGATGCGTCCCTGATGAAGAGATGAATAAATTGCTTGTCAATGAGCCAAGCGCTACGGACGCATCGCTCTTCGTGCGTGGTCTGAAGGTCGGTACGTCATCGAAGGAGGTGCGAGAGATCTTTAAGGACTTCCCCATCACCGACGTCAATGTGCTACCAGGCAAGACGTTCTGCTTCGTCATCGTGCAGCAAGCAGACGCGAACTCGATACTCGCGCGGTTCAAGAATGGGGTCAAGTGGCAAGGTCGCACCATCAAAGTGGACTTATCGGATAAGGACAAGCGGAAGAGAAAAGCTGAGTTTGGTTCTACCAGCGCCACTCCTGTTGCTGCGCCAGCTCCTCTACCGCCTACCGATATCACGGACCTGAAACTGGAAAACCTGCCGTACGATGTCACAAACCACAAAATCCTCACCCTGTTCGAGGGCTTCGCTGTCTACAAGGTCGTCATCAAGCAGGGCTATGCTTTTGTGGGTATTCCGACAGGAGAAGTCGGCCGCGCTCTCGATATGCTGAACGACACGATGATTGGGGCTGGATACATCAAGGCTAAGGTTACTGATCCCCGGAAGAAGTAGGGCTGCAGGTCTGGTTCGGTGCTGTGAAGGTCAAAGGGGTTTGCGAGACGTTAGAGGCGTGTCGTTGCGTGTTTTGTATCTGTCAGCCGGTGCGTTGATGGTTACTCTAGGAAGTCTGGATGGTTTGTAGGCGCTTGAGTGTGGTAAGACTCTAAGGATTGTGATCTCTCTTATTTGATGAGGAGTACCTTTGCGTATGTGGTGGTTATGTATTTCGGGAGTCATGAGTGGCTCGTCTCGCTCTGCGTCATCGCAGTACCATGGTTGACTGTGGTAATGAAATACTTGCAAATTAATTCACTGCAATGTTGCCCTCGTGATGGATGTTGCCTTAAGTTATACCGACTATTCCTTGTATGAGCATGCTCGAGCTTGTATAATTCTAGCGTATTGCGGCCCAAGAACATTTGCTGCGGAGCTCAACATTCGATCAAGCCGAAGGCTCAAAGCTCAACCATGACAGACTACACCTACTACAGTTCATCCGCGTCCAGAGGCTTCACCTTTTTGATACCCTACCATGTCCAAGCCAACTTTGTCAAGATCACGAAGCAGCTCCCTTCCGCCGTGCGTCCAGTCTATCGCGAGTACTTTGGCGACATCATGGCATGTCGAGACCGAGCTCGAGACTCCGCCGAGGCGATGCAAACGTTCGTGAACGAGGACTTTCCGCGTATTTCGAAGGACCATAACCGGCTGGCGAAACTGATGAACGCGGAGATCGATAAGCAACGGAACAATGTGTTGGTCAAGTTACCAATCACGGGCGATGGAACGGCGGCTGAAGACGATGAGGACCAGGCGGTGGCGCAATCGCGGACAAGGGAGCAGGGTGTGGCTAAGTCGGACAAGAACGCGACTTCGAAAGTGGTATTGGAGGCCGCCGCGGAGGCTACAATGCGCGAAGAGTCCCCGGAAGCAGCTCCTCCTCCCACCATGGCGAATACGAGGCTTGTTCGGCCAGCCCTGCGTCAGGGCCCAGCGCCATCGTCGGCTTCTCCAACCGGTATGAACAGCGAACAATCCGGGATAGACGAAGAAGACAGCGAGACGAGCGTCATATTGGTCGACACATCAGAGCCTTGGAACGACTCGCTTTGGCCACACGGTACCTGGATCGATGGTCTAGAAGTTATCGATGCGCTTCCATGGGCGCACCCAAGCCGACCTGAACGCATCGCACCGGACGGCCAATCTCCCCACGTCGAGCCACAACATGCCGCGGCTAATCCTCGTTCCTCTGAATCCCCGCTTTGATGTCCCAGAAACAGGTAACCTGTAGCTTTCCTCGGCCAACACACTCAGGGTTCTCGCAATGGAAGCGCGAACATCGTTCTCGGTAGCGGAAGTCGATGTTACTGAGGCAGTACATGCATGGCCATAGGTCGACGTAGGGGAAGGTGGCCTTGATCTCGTACGTAGCGTTCCTGCGTTGAGTCAGATTAGAAAGCGTTTAGAAATGACACGTTAGCACTCACCTCCACTTTTGGATGTCTTCTCGCGTCAGGCTGTGCGATGCCGGAGGGTCTTCTTGTCTAAGGGTCGGGGTATCGCTTCGCTTGGCTGTTGAAGCGCCTGCCTTCGTGGGTGCTGGAGCGCTTTGCTCATCGGATTGCCGAAGCTCACTGCTTCTCAGACGATTCTCGCGTCTCAGTCGTTGGGCGTTCATGTCTTGTGGTTGTTGGGTTTCCTGGGCGCTCGGTTTTGGGGTGTTACCGTATCCGAACAGCGGCATGGTTATCGTCGTGCGATGTGTGCGATAGAGAACGAAAAAGTGGTTGTTCGGGGAAGACAAAGAGAGCGTTAACTGTCCAGCGAACGAAGTTTTGTGTGACGATATTCACTCGCGTAGCGCGTGGCCGCCAGCCACGTAACGATGAACTTTGGAATGTGATAATGTTTGGTCGTCGCACGGTTCGAAAAGACATGATGACGCGTACTGTACCAGATATCATACGGCAAGCTGGAGACCACCTGATCCAAAAGTGACTTGTCAAAGCGTCTTGGTCACGCGGCGTATCTACCCATCGTTGATTTTGTGAATCAGCATATTCCGTTTTGATGAATATCGTTCACATCTCCATCGTTGTGAGTGGCTTGCTAGTACAGGCTCGGTACAGCAAGGTAGGGTATGGCTGACAGGAACTCGAAGTCCTGCAGTTGCATTTCGAGCTGGGGAGAAGCTTCTACACTTGAAGCAAGGCATGTACTGTAAGCGTTGTCTTGCTATGGGCGACCTCTGGGATAATTACCACCACCACGGTGAGCCTGGCTGCATCCGTGAGTTCCAGGGCTGAGATGAAAGTCACATTCGTCAGTATGCGCAAATGTGATTGAGCTCGAGATTCATGGCGACGGCAAGTTGATGTCTTCTATTGCACAAGTGAAAGGCTAAGAGATTGTTGCCGTTGTCGCGTAAGATCACGCCGCACCAAGACGCCATGACCACCGCGTCGGCCGAGATTCCTCCGACCGCCGATGCCGACGGACCTCCAAACCTCTGCGGGCAATAGAGTGCGCCTTTGACTCAGACTTGCGTATCACCCTTCCTCCATACGTAGACGCTCACTAGGTCCCATCTGTCCGACGCCTTCAGCTCATTGTCCACGCTCTATCCCTCCCCCACCAGCCTGACCATCCTCGTGAAGACCACCGGCGCGGTTGAGAGGTCGCATCAAGGAGTCGGAAAGCTGTTCTCGCACCCGACGCACATGTCGCAGACTATGGAAGTGAATCAGTCATTTGAAGAGCAGCTCATGGTTCAAAGTGATGCGCAGGCAGGTGCGATCGATGTCTCAATCCAGCCCATTGGTGTAGCTACGCCCAACGATCTGGCCGCCGAATTCGACTTTGTAAAGAGTATGTATCCCAATCTGGAAGCCGTGTGATGTGTTTGCATTGCATCCATGGTACTGGCACGTGCCGGTTTTCCGGACTGTCGATGTGCGACGACGAGCGAGCGCACGCATGGGCGATGAGTAAAGCAACGAGGATGAGTCGGGTTACGAAGGCGGGCTGCGTCATGTACAGGAGCCTCATTCTGGTTTCTGTTTGATCGTGCGCACCTCGCATATCGATGCGAGAGATACCTATATGGATATGAACTATTGCGGGAACGTCGCGCACGGGCTGGTTGATGGTGCTGAATATACACGTTCGACTCATTCGGGTCATCGTCCATTTGCGAAGAGTTGGGATGCAGGCAATGCGCATGGGATTATATGGGTTGCTTCCTGTAGGTTCCCACCCTGGGCGATACGGCAGCCTTACGTCACTCAGAGATCCTTGGGGCGTCGCTATTGTCGGCGGTCGCCATATCCAGGAACACCTCAAGTCCTTGAATCCGGTATCGCGGTTCTTCATTTCACTATTGTGATATGGCTGGATGATATCACAATAGGAAGCAGAAATCATGTTCGATGCTGGGCACGTTTAGCGCCGCATATATTCCCCGACTCTCTCACTCCCAGGTCCTCCGCCCTCCGCTTCACTCCCCTAGCTACTCTACTCTAGAATGTCCACAATGACACGCCGCCAACAGCGAAAGACCACAGCGACGGCTAAGCTAGGTAATCTGGACCTTCTCCTCTTCGCTCTACGAGCAGATCTCGGCCCCGACTGGGGATGCTACAAGGAACTTGTAGAGGGGGCCGCAGCTGCGAAAGCAAGCGGCGAGAATGTTTCTGCTTGGATCGAACAGATCGAGCCGCTGGTACGAAGCACCGCTTCGCAATTTGCGCATCAGGGAGTGCTATTCCTGTTAGACATTAAGGTGGGTAGTGAAGGTGAGATGTCTTTCCCGATCTAGCACCTTCACGTCAAAACTAAACTCTCTTAGCTTCTTCTGTCACCAAGGCCACCAACACGACCAACGACATGTCCGCTCCACCGCCTGACACCCGACGACCATCGCAACCAGTACGGCCCTCAGCCAACATGCAGTCCGCTCTACCTCCTGACACCCGACGCCCGCCACTACCAGTGCAACCCTCAGTCAACGTGCAGTCCGCTCCACCTCCTGACATCCGACGCCCAGCGCAACCAGCACAGCCCTCAGCCAACATGCAGAGCAACTTCAATCCCAGCTGGACACCCATGCCCTCCCCCGGTCCCAGCGCCTACATACCGCCGACACCCGCACCCGTCGCATCCAGGAAGCGCTCAGCCGCCAATGTCGCCTTCCAAGGCCAGAAGCAGACTACTGCGACACAGCCCCTCAAATCGGACTGGTTCGGCGGTTACGTCCTTCACCAAGATCCCGCCTTCCGGCGCGACGTATTCGAGTTCTTTGGACACGCAGTACCGGACAAACCCGATTCCAAGCACCACGATCAATCCGATGTATCATCTGTCTACAAGGCTGCGGATGACGATCTGGCGGTCTGGAGGGCGGGCTCCGGGGCTGAGGGCGAGGTGAAGGATGGCGCTCAGGAGAGCCAGAAAGATATGACCAAGGCTGTGGAGGATGCGAAGCGAGAGCGTGTGCGAGAAGGCTTGCGCTTCAAGCTCTTCGACAAGTTGGATTGAGATTGGCTACTGATGAGGTGGCAGCTCTTGAAGTCAGGCGTCTGCGCGGGCTGAGTTGGTGCGGAGACGAGAGACGTACGATGTTATGGAAGGGCAGATGAAGGACTTTTGGAGAGCATATTACACGGTTGGCTGGCAGGGAAGGCGTTTGGCGTCGCTAAAGGATGGATGATACCCCCAGAAGACCCTTAATTGAAAGTAGGAGAAAAGACTTTCAACTTCTACGTCTATCTGTGAACCAACGCCCATCCATCTCCCACCCGTCCCCCAACCTTCACAACTTCCCCGCCAATCCCCCCTTCTCAGCCTCAAAAGGCACCGCCAAATTCTTCCCCGCCCACTCCTTCTCCGCCTCCGTCCCCGGCATCGGCGGCACCATCCCATTCACCTTCCACAAATCCCTATCCACATCCTCACAACTATACTCCCAATCATACCCTTTATCCGCAATAAACGGCTTCAGCGCCTTATCCACAGCATCCATAAACCGGTGTTTGTGCTCGAGTGAAGTACTATTTCCAGTCAGGAAACACGTTCACAGATGATGTTCGTGGGATGTGTGGGATGTCATACAATTGCCGAGCAAGATGCTCCATCTTAATCCGTATCATGGGGACTGAGCTATCGCGGCCGGGCTTGTTGGCGTCAGTCATGGGAGAGGGACGGGGTACGCCGCCGATGAAGAAGGAATCTGGTTGGATGGGCTGGAAGAGGACGTTTACGTAGAATCTAGGGAGTCCGACGATGGTGTAGAGTTTTGTGATGTCGTTTGCGAGGGCGGTTTTGTCGGCGAGGGAGGTGAAGGTGTTGGGTGGGTGGTAGATTATCCAGAGAGGCATTGTTGAGGATGTTTGTGAGGTTATGAGTGAGGGGGAATGGGATGATAGGCAATTAGTGTTGACTTTCTGGATAATGGGGTATACTACGAAGCTTATATAATAACAATATACATTCGTGCCGACGATGTAGGTTTACCTAGGTAGGTTGCACGTGATTTGGAATAGTAATCACGACCGTGTGGTTACTAAGGGCTGCGCTAATCATGCACCGCATTGGGACTAACAAGAAGACGTAGATCTTGGTACACCGCGCAAGAACGACTAATCATGAACCATCGCGGTCTTCTGGGCTTCGCTCTTAGATCTGAACTCTTTGAGCGATTGGCTTTGGGTGTAACCATCATGGTGATTCATCGTTGCGTGGGAACGTGATTTTGTGGGAGTTTATTCCCCCACATATTGTTACTAGACGGGTATCACTAGTTCTGGATAGCAGTTTCGCGGCTAGCGTGACTGGTAGACTACTATTACGTCCGTAACAATCTTTGGCTTGCCCGCGTTGAGGTATGCGGCTCTATTCTACAACGGACCCGCGTTCACAACTCCGCCACGACTCTTCGTACGACTTCATCGAGATCTTCCTCTTGCAGCCCAAGCAGGTCGTTCGCAAAGCCTTCCTTCTCTTTCCAGTCTGCAGCGACTACTCCCCACACTGCGACGACCTCTTCCCTCGCCTCACCATCTCCACTCAGCATCTTCGGCCGAGAAACATCCAGTTCTTCCTTGCTATTCTGATCGATGCGCTCAAACTTGTCGCCTGTAACCTTCTCCAACGCATCAAGAACCTCAAGTTGCGTGACATGGTGGCTGTGTACATAAAGGAGCTTGTTGGCGGTTTCATCTGGCTTCTCTAGAATCTTGATGACTGCTTTGCCGATAAAGTCCAGGTTTGAGGCGGAGAACTTGATGTTGCCGCCGTCGAGAATGTATGCTTTTCGGGCTTTTACGTCAAACTTCAGTAGACCGCAGGTCATACCCCAATCGAAGAAGTGGCCGGTGACAAGACTCGTCCAGGTAAGCTTTCCCATGCCGTCTTCTCGCTCCTTGCCTTCCAATGTTAGGAGGTAGTCCCGGACATCTTTCTTGCCCTTCATAAGCGGCAGAATTTCATTCGTCTTTTCATCGGCAGAGTCGCAGCTGCCGAACTCAGCAGGCATCACGCGCTTCACGCCGCCCTTGAATGCGGCATCGATGAGCTTCTTCTGCGACTCGACATGGCTTCCTGCGATGGTGATGACGAGGGCGTCGATCTTGTTCTCTCGCAGTACCTTGGCGACCCCATCGACGTTCAGATCATCGGGGATTGTAATGACTTTTGTTTTGGGGTAGACTGATTTGGATGTTTGGCGGTTCAGGACGAAAATGTCGAATTCGGAGGTTTTGAGCGCGTTGAGGACAGGTGCGCCAAGCGTACCTGTGCCGCCGATGAGGGCAACGTTGGTGATGGCCATTGTGTGGTACTGTGTTGATATATGTGATGGTTGCGGGGTGAGTTAGATGCAGCTCCACGGGGAAGGGCCATCGGCTACGAGCGCCTAGTCACGGTCGTCCCTAATCACGGGAGCTTTCATCACGTCTCCCAAACGCAAGATCGTACACTACGTGGATTCCATATCTATACGTGCGCGACAAGGTAAAGCCAGCAATTGCGAGGACATACGGCATTCGCGTGTGTTGATGTCGATGATGTCATGGCACTCTCCGACGGCTACATCGGTGGCTATTGCTGTGCTATGAACCTGGCACTCACGACGTCGCCGCCCACCCATACTTCATAGCACGCAGTCGCTGTGCTACGTTCGCGTATACGTCCAATGACTGAATATTACACCCCGGTCCATGGGTGTGTGTCGACTGCGCCGCGTGCCATCTTGGGTGCGCGAGTGCGGGGTTGGTGCGACTTGACATGAAAGCCTATAGAGTCGGCTGGGTAATCTCTGCGACTTTGCGCCCCTTTCTCTTGCCTTGTGTCCTGTTGTTTACTCGGACGGTGTCAGCAGCGTGCCACACAGATAATGTCGCCCGCTGCGCATACCTGACGTCTCGATTGCCTTGAACATTTTCCCCGCCCATTGCACGTCAACTTCTGATCGCGATATCAAGATGGGCGGCCATGGAGCGACCTACCTGTATCAGCCAATAAACGCCAGCGAAGAGGCCCGTATCCTTCGTCTAGAGCCAGGCGCATTTGCTGAGCCTCTCATCGGCAGCCTTGTGGTGCGAAAGATCGGGGATGAAGATGACGAAGACGAAGACGAAGACGAGGAGCACCCGCGAGCCTACGATTGCGTTTCTTATTGCTGGGGACCCCAAGAGAACTTCACTTCATTCGATTGCGGCGGCAAAGCTCTTCGTGTTACGGCCGCTGTGGACGAGATGTTGCGGTACCTGCGGGAGCCAATCGAGCCGCGTTATCTGTGGATAGATGCTAGTAAGTGTTGAAGCGAGCCCAAGCATGCAAATCATACTGACTTTCGGTAAAGTATGTATCAATCAAGCCGATAACCAAGAGAAGAGCCAGCAAGTGCGCATAATGGGCAAGGTTTATCTCATGGCTTGTACAGTGCGCGTCTGGCTGGGCCCCACAACCGACGAGGAAATGGATGCTGTATTCTCACTATTCGACCGTGGCAGCGCGTGCCGAACCGAGGACTTAAAACGTATTCCGGATATATTGCACTTTTTGAGGCCTTTAGATCCGGTCATCGAGAGCTTCTTTTCGCGATCCTGGTTCACAAGACGATGGATACTGCAAGAAGTATTTCTTGCCCGTGCAGTACTTGTTCACTGCGGACATTATCGAGTTCCATGGGACCATCTTCACGAACGTGTGAGTGCGCTCCCGCGCCATTTGCTTTTGGATGGTACCGCGGCGAGTGCTTTGGATCTAAGCTCTCGATTAGAGAACACCAGAACTCTAGGAGCGCTGGATGTTGGACGCCGGACGACCCAAGCAGACGACATAAGCAACGTCGTTTACGGTATACTTGCGTGTCTATACAACCATCATACCTCAGATTGCGTGGATGAACGAGACCGTTTGTACGCGCTGTATGGTCTGATACCGAGTACAAGACCTCACAGTAACCAACCGGCTGAACTTAAGCAAATTTGCTCTGTGGATTACGGAAAGCACTTCTCGGAGATATATACCAATTTTGCCGCAACAGCAGTGAAATTCGGTCTGTTTGACCAGATTCTCGAGCACATGCTCGAATTTGGAGCACTTGCCCATCAGAATGAAAACTGGCCCTCCTGGGTCCCAAGCTGGAACCGAGCGAGGAGGTCCGATGGTAATCTTAACACCCTCTGTCGGAGGCGAACGCCTCTATTCACGCCCGAACTTCATTCCTTGGGAAGCCAATGGGGAAGCCATGACCTGAACCTAAGATGGATCGGTTCTAATGTCAGGACTGGCAACGTATATGGTTTAAGAGCACTCTACATCGACGGATGTGTCCATCGCATTGATGCTATCCGACCTGACACTTGCCACTTGGACGCAATAGCATATTTCGAGGATACTCTGAGTCATCGATATGCTAGTCGTAGCTCTGTGGTCTCCAAGCTTAAGGCTGTATGGCTAGTGATGGTTGCTCATGATTTTGCACCCCTTGTGTCATCCAGCGGGTGGACCAACCATTGCCCAGCAAATTACCGCAAAACAGACTTATGGATGGTCCTCAAGAAACGATTTGGATTACTGTCGGATACGACTGACTTGTCTGACCTGGATGAAGACAAGGTCTTGTCCAAAGCAAGACAGTCATTAAAGAGCATGCATCCATTTTGTTACGAACATAGGGAGTCACTTACATTCGGACTGGCCTATGTACAACTGGAGCCAGGCGACTTTGTGTTCCGCATCTCCCAAGCAACTGGTTTAAGGACAACATCGGGGGATCGGGGTCCCCCAACGGTATGTGGATTGATACTTCGGCCTTACCATCAAGCCAGCGTGGCAGGGCCTGCCACCTTTCGACTTGCAGGCATGTGCATTGATTACTTCCCTATCATGGAGAAAAGGGATATCCTCGACGTTATCTTAGTGTAGGAGATATATGCTAGGACAGGTATGAAGATAAGGTCGGGAGTAATTGAAGGCTTCAAGACCACAGGTACGTTGTTTTGATCAGTCATATTGAAGTATACATGTATCCAACTGGCCTGCACACAAGTCTTATGTTAGTCGCGTATATCTGCTGGGTACGATATCGACGTGTATAACTCGGAACAAGCTTCGTTATCGTCTCCTAGGCCGGAAAGACACCGTAGAAACTGTGCAACAGGGGTACATCATGTCCAAGGACACAACCCTCGCTACAGCGAGACTTGCAGCATCGGGGCACACTATACATACAGGAGAAGAATTGAACAGGTGCTCTGCCGTTTACATTAATATCTGAGACCAAAGCTGACAGTCTCCTATAACAATCTTGGTCAACTGTTCCCTGCTGAAGCTGCGGCGTTGGTACTAAATACTCGCTGGTATGAAGAATCGGTGATGGAGGTGGATCCGCTGAGTTATGAGATCAAGCGGTGACACGCCAAACACTCCAGCGAACCACCTCAAAGCTATCGCGAATATCCAGTATACTAAAGTACGACTTTCACGATCAGCCTGGTCCAGAACCCCGCCACAGTCTGAGTCGAAGGCGCGTCCTCTCCTTGCGACGAATCGTGGGAACAAGTCAACAATCGCGATGGCAACCGCAATGGCGATTGCGACAGCGACAAAGATGAAGCGAGCGCCGCAGATGCGCCGGTATTGACATCACCAGGCATGAGAATACCTCTTCACGATGCGATTCCACAGGCCCCGAGCACCAGCGCGTGATGCGCAGAATCAGAATAGCGATAGACAATATTCCTTCTTTTCAACATGTGTATTTGGTGTTCTCGATGCTTGGGAGCATTTCCGCGGTGTTTGATCCGGAGCGTGCATCGGGGCACCCACGTGCCGACGCAAGTTGCATCGAAAAGCACGGGCGAAACCGGAGACGGAAGACCGCCCGGGACCGCGATAAGCTTCCAAGGTTTACCTAGGTAGCCCTCCACGCAATCCCCATCACCGTTTCCAATAAGAGTCATATCGCGGTGGGAGTTTGCCTCTCGCAAGTCCTTGTGACATGCAGTATTCTTCAGAGAACATTCTCGTCGTTTCACACGCCACTCAGATTCGTCCAACTATACATCTCCAACACATCACATGACGTCTTCAATCGTGAGCTTGATTTGACCAGCCGATCGCCATCGTGGTGTTGAGAATGTTTCAGCTGGGGGGTGCAGGCTCGCGGCGTCTGAGTGGGCCGGTTGGTGGTCGCCAGTGTGGAGGGCGGCACTAAGGGAGGCCGCGCATGCAGGCCAAGCCCAACGCCACAAAATGGCGCCGGCCGTCCAGGCTTGGACGCATAATTGACTTGGGCTAAGAAGAGTACCTTGTTCCACACGGCGAGGGTGAGGTGTAAACTTCACCGGATGGTGATCGAGGCCTGGATACACTACCTAGGTATCGCACTCAATAGTCTACGCGTAACACCCATAACACCCACGAGCCCACCCGGATCGTATTCTGATCCGAGGCTTCCGATGGTAGTGATGCTGTTGCCTGGCGTATGCGCAGTGCAGTGCGACAGCAACATGTTGTTGCTGCTGTCTCGCGTGGTGCCACCCACTCCCACCACGTTGACTCCCCGCGGACAGCCGGCAGCGGATGACATAACGACACTGAGACGACTTGAGTCGTTAAACGTTTGCTGGCAGCGACTTAGCGGATGCGCCCCTTGGCTAGGACTTAGCGAAAGGCCCCATAATGATGTAAATTGCGCGAAAAGCAAACCTTGGGCGCGCAGCTGGCAGCGACGTCGTCCAGTGAGGCAGTGGGAAGACAGTCGCGATATGAGGGTGACCATCGGTTATGTCTGCTATTTTCATGTGAATTGCTTTGTCGAGACTTTTGTCTGAGACGCAAGGGCAACATCGCCAATTCCGGCAAGGAGGTGGGCTGACCGGGGCCCCCCGGCTAGCGCGGCTTAGGCCAGCCCGTACGTGTGGAAATGCGCTGAATGACTGCTCCCCCCGAACTTCGTCGTCGCTGCCCTTCATCACAACATCATCGCCGTCTGGCACACCATCCCCTCACCTTCCCCCCCACCACCGCCTCTCCACGGCCTTTTGTAGCCCTGCACGCCTGTAATACGCCCCTCTCTCCTGTATTCACGAATTCTTGCTCGGAATTTCGTGCTGGTGCGGCTGTCTCTTCCTTATCAACCTTGAGTGGCCGATCATCGCGCCTCTTGCCCTCCACGTCACCACCTCAACGGCTTAACTGCTTGTTGCTTCTCTTCCTGCACTCCTTCGCCCGCACTTGATACCCCCTACCCGTTTTAATATTCTCTCCTGCTCGACTTGCCCTTCGATTTTCCCGAAGACATAAGTCGCGCATTACTGTTGTTGCGCCTGCTGCAACGTCATCCTGCAGCCTCACTAGCACTCGACTTCGATGCGCACGACCCTCACAACTACAGATGAGCTCTGTTGGTTTTAGGCTTCCACTTCTTTCACAATGCAGTCCATGTTCCGCCTCCCATGGTGTAACGAGTCGCCTGGCGACAAGATCATGGAGAAGTCGACGCTCCACAAGTCAAGACCGCTGCCGGTCGACATGCCACACTTCATGAACAACATGAATAAGATCAAGCGGAAACGGACTGACAGTCCTGAGCCAGTAGCGAAGAAGTGGAAGGGCGCGCATGGTGAGGTGAGACCGTCGACGGTCAACGCAAATGCGAATGCAAACGCGAAAGCTGCGACCGACAATGGACGTCTTGCGGACGCACCCAGGCCTGCTTCTGCTGAAGTGGATGCCCGACCCAAGGCCCAGCCGAGGAAAGAAGGTGCAAGCAAGAGCAAGACCGCGAAACCTCAGCAAGCGACTGCCAAACCTGACTCTATCAACACGCCATCGACCACCATGGACTCCGGACTGACCCCTGTGCAACAAGCCATCGAGGCGCAAATCAACTACGAGATTCTGCTCAAGCACAACGAACTTCGTTTGATTGAGCAGGAGCTCGCCAAGTGCCAGGTTTCTCTCGAGCAGCTGAGGCGTTGTTCGCTCATTCCATTCCCCGGTACCGAAGGCCTTAGTGAGGATGTCAGTCTCGGAGTTGGTGCTTCGTTGCAACCCAGCTCTGGCATGACAGAACCTCAGTATGCTGCTCCCTGGGGAGTCACCGACGGCCCGTACACTCGCCACTACGCAAAATGGTTGATCTCGGATGCCAAGTTTGATCCCGTATCTGAACGCGCATTCGCTCAGCAAGCTCAAGGGTACTTTGGCACTGGTGAAGGCAGGACGACGCGCGGCAGCTTTGCTGACTATGGGTCTCACAGAGGCCGCACGTCGCGAACTTCGACTGGAATGTTGAAGCTCACGCCCCTTGGTGAAACTCCAGCACCAGCGCCCAAGGTCGACCCGTTGTTGCACAAGCGATCGACGGACGGTCAGTGGGTGCGCTTGTACTGCGCCCCGTGTGGCCACAGCAACTTCTCCAACACTCAGGGTTTCCTCAATCACTGCCGGATCAAGCACACGCAGGTCTTCAAGAGCCACGACGCTGCAGCCATCGCATGTGGTGTTCCTGTGGATGTTGACAATGTTGGTACTCCTGTTGCCGCTGCCGCTGCCGAACCTGCGAGCGCTCCAGTTGCGCCCCCAGCCGTGTCATTCCCTGTTGTTGCCACTCCCGGCATCGTCCACCCACTAGCATCACAATCCGCACCCGTCCCACAAGCCCGGGAGGTACACCGTGATCAGAACGCCTCACCACGT